ACTGTGAAAAAAAATATAAAGCAATTCCCTATTGGCTGAATTGAATATAATGTTCCGGTTTGTGAGACTACTGTGACCTTTCACCACCAAAATCTAATCAGTTTATCTGTGAGTCTAAGTGAACATTTGTACCAAATTTGAAATTATTATCTTTCAGGGTTCTTAAGAAAACACGCAAAAGAGTTTTATATACCCTCACGGCCTTCTTGAGATATTAGGTTAGCCAGGCAGAAAATTCGATATGCAACAGCAACAGTGAACTTTAAACACCAAAATGGATTCAGTTCATCCTTGAGTCCAACTGAACATTTGTACCATATTTGAAAAAATTCCCTCAAAGCATTTTCGATCACGTTCACAACAATGGGAAAAATAATGCATCCAGCCAATGACGGTCACCAGTATGGAGGAATAATTACAAAGGAGCATTTTAGGACCCAGAATGAATGTGTAACAAATATCACATTGGTCTCAGACTCTAAATGAAAAATGCATGTGTACAACAGAAACAAATGGAGACATAGTGGGAAGATAGACTGAAAGAGTTGCTGTCAACAGTTGTGTAACAATGAATCGTCAAGTGCTGCCCTCGGCCAACTTCACTTCACAGTTCCCAGAGGCGGCAGGAGCCAACTCTGACTAACAAAAGGTTCGGTTCAGATGGAGATGTTGATACAACTGATGTTTTCAATTATCTGAGGAAAATACTCTGAGAAACATGCGTGTCAACACTACTTAATACACACTAGTGTTTGGCAAAGCCCGGTGAATTCCTTTCACAATAGTTTTGGACTTTACACCAGCACCGCAGCTACATTAAAACAACAAATATGACATTGTGTACAGTGTGTGACGCTGTGGCTGCTCCAGGCTGATGTAGCTTCTCCCTGCTTTAAATATGCTATCTACATAACTTGGTATTGTGCTTCCCCTGTTTGTCAGATAGTGTAATCCTACCTAGTCTGTTTTCCGTCAGCGAGGTAACTCCCACTCTGTTGGGTGACACACTGGCTCAGATCTGCAACTGTCAGCTTGGTGGAAAACCCACAGCCCATCCTGCTCAAAGAGGTGTGTGAACAGTTGTCCTCTGTTAGTTCCCAAATACAGCAGATACAAGATACAGCTGATAAATGCTCTGAGGGGTGAAACACCGGCGCGGCTTCTTGAGCGTTAGAAGATATGTTCACGGGCGCAAAGATCAAGATGGGAGCTGCTGTGGGAGGAATACTGATGCAGACAGGAAGTCATCAGGTTGAGTCAAGAACACTCCTCTCATCTGACATACTCCATTTCTTTTGCCAACACATGCACAGTGACTGTTGCATCAGTGCACCTTATTGTTGACAGGTGGTTTGTTCCAGCTAAGTTAGTCAGATGTGGGGAGAATTTCCACACAGCAAGACTGTGTTGTCGACCACAGCAACCAGGAAAGTTTGTTTTTCTTAAAAGTGTACACTACTTTGATACATTTGTTTTTGAGCGAATTTTGAAATATGGTAGAAAGACTCCCTCGTTCGGACCTGCCTGCTGCTGTACCAGATGAATTTCCCGAGTGTATGGATCAATGAAGTTTTATCTTATCTTATCTTAAATGAAAATAGAAAATCGAGCTGAGCCAATTCGAGCTCACAAAACTGCTGTGAAAACTTCTGACCTACAGCAGAGACTTTCCTCTGACCTTTTGTGGAGCACTGTCACTGATTAAGTCGCCAAACTGCACCTCCTGCACAAGATCCGGGACAACTGAATGACAACACGCTCAGTCGATGCTGCGTCATCCTGCTCCTTAGTTCATTTTTGACCCTGGACACGTACAAGGAGATGTACGCTCGTCCTCGCCGGTACTGGTCCAGTTACATTTGTTGGTACTTAGGAATTAAAGCATCTTTAAGTCTAATCCTTCATCAAACCGACTGTTACATACGTGGCAGCTATTGTAAAATCCCCTTGAGGAGATCTATGACTGGGTATTGTATCATCGAATTGTATTTTTTCATCAGGTCACTCCAGATTAGCAGTCTCGCTAGTTTTCCAAATGTGTAAAAACACATTTAAACACCAACTAGTTATACTTAAGGCCGTGCTGATGAAAATAGGAGGTTAGTATTTATTTCCATCTTCATAATGACAACAACAACTTGATCCCACTCAAGGGAGGAGGTAGGAGCTATTCCAAGGAAGAGAGAGATAAATGCTCATAAACTATGAGTCAACAGCTTCTTCCTTGGTAAAGCTTGTCATGCAAACATGTTTTTTCAAAGAAAGGTGTGTGTTATTTTGACAGATCTTAGGAGGTGTGTGCATGTCTGTGTGTATCTGTTGCAGATAAAAAACTCATGTGACAGAACAAACGCATTCAGCTGGTGGGTCTATCACTTCAGAGCAGCAGTGGGTGAGCTCAAAATCGTCTTATTAACATCCTCAGGATGTGTGGCTGCCTCTCTCAATACATTGCTTTGCTTTTCCACTTACTAAAGACAGCCATAATGACGTAATTGGGGACCAGCGGTAAAATAAGCCTTTGCAGAGCAGATATATGAAACAATAACATCTATGATCCTTTCTCCCATGCATGTTTAGTTCACAATTTAAACATGCATGCATGGACGATTTGAAGCTACTTGAGCATATTGAGTACTATGAGAGGGCAATAAGGTCAGTGGCACCATAAAATTTTCCCCAAAACATTTCCATGGCTGTCTAGAGCATTAAATCCCTTAAAGCACATGTTAGTTTCGGTTTAGTAATGCTAGTGAAATGCTAGTCAGAACCGGTTAATGTGTGCCGGGGGTGTGTGATATTCACTGAAATCCTGGAAATGACAGCCCCCTGGCACAAATAAGAATGAGAATGAGAGAATTCAGAGAATAAGACGGTTGCAAACAAGTTTTACTTTGCACTCGACTAAAATAGAGTATGAAAATTGCATTTGGACGGAGAGTTCCTAGTTTCTGATAAAGTTTCTCAGAAACAGCGACTTAACATTTCAGAGAAAAACAGAGTTAGATGATAGATTAAGCCTGATGTGGTGTTTACACTTAAAGAAACCAGCATCACTATTGCAGCTGCCATGACATAAACCCTCTCACTCCTCCAACGCACTCTCCCTGCCACACCCTGCTGGCTACAGTGTACACAGTCTGATGGTCCTGAGAGGACCTTGATAAATATTGAACTCGGACCTGGGGATCCCCCAAATGATGTGAACATGAGATTTTTACACTCTACACAGCTGTTTGTTTTTGTTATCCTACACCTGGACATATTGCAGGTTACAGATGATCAACCATGCAAAGAGATTAACGACTACCAGCAACCAGATGGTTGGAAAAACAATAGCATGAATACAATCTGGACGAAAAAAAGAAAGAAAGAAAAGGTTTAAGCAAAGTGATCGAGGTGTTTCTGTACCATTTTCCCTTCTCATTACTGATTCTGATATCTGGACATATCAATCTAATATAAGTGCATTTTTGGCACATACCTGCCCAAATGTACAGCAGCCCCCTTAAATTCAATCAAGTGCACCAGATTTCACACACTCAAAGATATCAGTTCCCTTTGTGCATCAAGATCCATGAATTATTCCCAAGATTCTTCCGTAAACCATACTGCTTCCTTCCAATAAGTTTTGTGACAATCCTTTCAGTTGTTTTTGTATAATCTTGCTAAGATACAAAACCTTTGGCATATTTTAACAGCTGTATGCTACATGCAGTGCTTTATGAGATATCTAGTGTTGCAATTGGCAATAAAAATGCAAAATTGATATTTTAGATTTTATTTGAACATTTAATATTTTAACTAGCTCTAGCTAATGCTCACTTCTGTGAAACTTACTTTAAAGACATCCAAGTACCTGCCAATGCCTGATTCCTGCATTTTGTGCAGTATCAGAGGCATTTCTGTTGCTCGTATCGGTATCAGAACATCTCTGCTGAATATAAGTTATTGATTTCTCATGTGGAGCAGAGAGATGCTACCAGCCCTCAGATATCAGCAGCTATAGACACCACATATATGCAATTATAGAGAGTCTGTGATAACGTATAGCTTCACAGTGCAAGTATCTTTAAGTCATCATCGCAGTATTTGTGTTTTTAAAGGCAAGAGATCACAGCAGAGTGTAGATCAGCTGATAAAGGTACATTTGTCATAAGAGCATTACTGCATGGAAAGGTTGTGGTTATGACTCATCTGATAGTTCCTTATCATAGGTAGCAACAGTGGAAAACAAGCCAATCTCACGCACAAAATATCAAACACCAAACTGAGAGTCTGTATGTGCTTCAACCTTTTAAAATATATATCCAGAATAAGAATTTCCATCATCCTGAATACAAGAGGCAGAGATGAGACCCTTCTATAAAAACTAATTAAGAGAAAAATCGATTACACTCTCAGACACTGTGTCCATTTATTTGGCAGCGTTGTTTCTATTCCTCTCTCTCAAATAACAAAGATGGAAAAAAACATGATCTCCGATGATATCATGTGGTCGGACCTCTGCTGCTGAATTTCTTGTGAAAACTAAGACGCAGGCTGCTCCAAATAACTCCAGAAAGCAAAGTGGGAGACTGAAAGAGGTGTTATTGTGTTGTTTGGTTCTTTTTATATTCCTGAAAGATGCAGTATTATACTCTATATACTGCACATGTTGTAGTTTATTCCAACCATATTTTTTTGTGTGTTTGACAGAACAGTGCTAGTTCTTTCTGTACTTTCTGTTTCGTCTCAATTAGATAAATAAGCTAAGTTGAAAGAACGGGAAAATATATAGAAAAAAACAAACAAAACATTTTTTATTAAAGGGGCGAATTATTGTGGTCATTTTGAGACGTTATTATGAGTTGTAATCAGCTGATTTGATATCAAATTGGTGCGGTTAACAAAATCAAAGAACTGCTAATGTGGGTAACAGTAAAAGCAGAGACAGAGAAGAGGTAAACAGAAGCAGAGGCAGAGTGATGGAGCATCAAGAAGAGGTCAGGGTTCCCTACCGTGGTTGTCATCCGACTGGTTGAACCCGCACAGCTGGCAGATGGAGCGGACCCACTTGCTCATCTCCTCCTCAGTCTCCGCCACGAGGTAAAAGGTTCGGTCCGAGGTCCTGATGTCAAACACGAAGCTGTCCTGGAACTCCTTCCGCTTAAAGGTCAGGCCGGCGTCCACCTGCTCGCAGCAGTGCAGGTCGATGACCCGGATAGGTTTCTTGGAGTGGTCATTCTTGTAGTACTCAAGAACGTCGGGGTCACCGCTCATGCGGCCGCTGCGAAGGATGAACCAGCGTTTCTTCCATGCCTGGGGAAAAACATAAAAATTGAAACGTGAGAACGTGACAATAATACACAAAAAAAAAAGAATGTGCAGCCAAATAGAAATTTAAAATATATTTCGATGTAAACTCAATGAGGCCGAACTTTTTAAATAATACAATGATGCAGATCACTGTGTACTTATGTTGCACTGACACATGTCAACAGCTGGATGGTTGTGGTGTAAACTGTTGATCACATCTGACTTTGAGCATGTCACTGTGGCACACACGTGGTCGTGTGTGGTTTGCGTGTGCACGCACAGAGGCTGTGGGAGGGAGGCAGCAGGTGTTTGCTCCCTGCCAACGTATTTCCTGTGCTGATGTCCCTCCTTGAAAAAAAAGAGAGACGCACACGCTCTGTGACAGCTTTGTTACGAGACTGCAGGCTCCTCCAACCTCCACAACTGACGAGTGACACCGCTTTGATCCACACGAAATCATGCTACATCTGCATTCGACAGTGTTACTGCTGCTGGAGTATCCTCCATCACAGACGCAGTAGAAGTGTATGCTTCAATAATGCAAGATAGGACTCAAGAATGGGAAGCGTCCAAATGCAACATGTGGATTTCACACCAACAATGCCATTGTTGCATTTAACAACTGGGAGAAGCACAAAGGAAGAACAGTGGCCTTGATTACCACACATCCATACATTTTCCCAGTGGCTGTCTTAAAAGGACTCTGTGTTCTCTGTGTCCAGAGACAAAAGGGGAAGATTGACCAGGAAGGGAAAGGGTGAGTAACAGGGGGGTTGAGAGAGGGGACTTTTTGGACATCTGCCAGTGATGCACTTCCGCCAGGCAATGTCTCTCACATGCAGGCTGCTGACACACAGGATCCTGCAGGCCCAACCCCCCTCGCTCTCCATCAACACAGACACTGCCGCAAGGCTAACGGCACCCCCACACCCCCACCCCCCCAAAAAAACAGATTTGCACCATACAGATGCACAAATGTCTATTCTGCTCAAATGGAAATATCTGCTAAATACTCTTATACGCTCTTAAATTAATGATTTTAGCAATTCCAGCTTCAGCATTACCATATTGTGCATATTGGTTATCTGTCACACAACACTGGGACGCTGGGACTGAGAGGTTTAGGATGTCTCCAGTGAAAAAGGCCTTTCCAGAGCCTCTCTGACTCAACATTAATTTTTAATATGCATTCTGCTCATTGATCAATGCTGCAGGGCTTCTGAGTCAAACAAATCAATCATGCAGTTTAAGGTGCTGCAGGATTGCACTTTTCATTTTCTTTTAGTGATACAGGTTTTCAGTGCTAACGCTAACATCGTGGAATCACTTTGAAATAGTGTTAACAGCTGCAAATAAAGGTTTTCTTGTATCTACACAATAGACATATTATATGTGTTATATACACAAAATGAGGCTATTTCTTTGATTTTTCCTTTCGCCAAATGTGGTTTCTAGCCATGAGTAGGTGGTGGTGATAGTTGCTTAATTGCAGGAGCTTTAGCCATTGTGGTGTTTGACAGAACAACGCTAGTGCCTTCTATAAATTATATTTCGTCTGAATTCTGGAGCGATTTAGTAGACCAATTACGTCACAGTTGCGTGACTACCAATTCGAAGGCTCCTACAAATATGGCTGCCAAAAGTGTCCTTCCATCGCTAAGCAATGGAGGCTCCACAGAATGGATCCTTAAATGTAGGTACTCAACCACATAGGTAATGGAACACATGAAAAAAAAACATCATTTGCGGGTGACTATACTATGACAATAGGAAGAATAGACCGTCTCATTTTGGTTCATTAGCTATTTAGAACAAGCCCCAGTTGCCGCAGCTATGGAATTTATAGCCTCTGTGAGATAATCTCATATCTCACGATCTCTGCACATTTCCCCCTGAACATTAGGTTTTAGAAAACATGAATGATTTCTTCTTAAATTAGTGGATAATGTCTTTATTTGAAAAAGCAAATGTATGTTGTGGTAAACCCTCAGATCTGGTTAATAAAAAAACTTTGGACCTGGGAATTAGTTGAATAATATTAAACCTATCAACAATGGATTTCACACTGCATGCTGAAATACAGAATATATCCGTGAGGATATTGCTGCAACTGGTGATTTCACTGTCAGCATGATATAATTGGTCCATTAAAAAAAACTATTCAATTTACAACAAATATTTGACTGACAGCTTTTTTTTATATTTGTTGCTTTAAGTGTCTTACCTGCCATATTTAATTGAACAAAATATTAATAAAGTCTTTATGAGTGTTGTTAAATCAAGTGAAAATAACACAATGACTCATAACTATAGTTTGAGATTGCATCCATGGTTTCTTATGCAAAATGTTAGTATCATTTTAATATGTTGCCAGTTTTGTTTGGTTTTCCTCTGAGAGGAGGCAGCAACAGGAACCAGGAAGTGCAGATTTAGATGTTATCTTCATCACAAAGCTGAACTTCTGTGGTTATGGGGGGGTAGGAGACTATCTCATTTTATTTTCCGTCAGACTGATAAAAGCTAGAGGCACTATGGCCTTAATGATATTGATAGTAGATTCTTGCTTATAGTTGTGCGTAGGTGAATGTGAGTCGCACTGCAATTTCTCCACAGAAACCCTAGTAGAGGTGGAGTTTCTATGGTTTGAGTGTCTTCTGCTTTCTGGTCCACTTATTTACAATTTATCTTGCGTCTCTGTTTAGATATTGAAGAGCAATTACTTTTTCTAGAGAATGGCATCTACGTGTAGGCTAAGGCATAGCTTCTACGCAGAAGCATGAATTGGGCATTAGGACAAAAAGGTGTAGGTGAAAGAATAGATTAAATCAGCACTATCTGACGAGCTGTTCAGTTGTGTGACTCTGCATTAGGTCATTTCTTAGTAAGGGAGGTTGTTATTGATGTTCACTGGGGCAGATTAAACTGTAAAGGGTGTGGGCAAAAAAATACAGAGAGAAGTCCACAGCGTTACTCCTCAAGTCTCTGTCTAAAGGACCCAACTGAGAGTGTGAACTTCCTTAAAAGAAATACAGTAGAGTCATCACACTACTCCACAGAAACATTCACAAAACACATTTAGTTTACTTTTCTCCAAGTCCACATGGCTTTTAACTTTAGTGAGACTACACGAGTCAGAGAGATTATAACTCTTACAAACCCCATTTAAATATTATTGCCTTTTCTGGAAAGAACGAGCATCAGTTAATTGAGACCTGGAGCAGTGCCCAGTTTCACGAGGTCAGTGTGACCAGGCTGGGTTATTCCTGGCATCTTTCAGCTGCAGCCAGTACATAAACCCATGACAGCAGCAGCTCTCCACCACAGAGGAAAGACAACTCATTTACAGGGCTTTATTGGACTAAATATAGAATGAGCATTTCCACAGGAAAGGCAGTTGCTGCTTAATTCAAGAATAAATTAATTTACATTTTCCTCTGTCACACTTTGTGACAGAAGACAACATCTCAACTGGCAGCGCAGCTTTTCTTATCTCTTTCTCATGCACTTTTTTCAAATTTGAAAAAAAAAACTCCCCCAGCAAAGTAAATCATGGGGGAGGAGGACACAGTGAACTGAGCGAACCCACCCACCGCTATGTCCTACAGAGCATGTCTAAGCCCATCGATCATTGTCTAAGCACTGGGAAGCTGTAAAACTAGGCTGAACTCTCCCAGCTCTCCAACTTTCCCCTCCCCCCGACGGCTCTGGTTTAAACTACATCACTGTTTAAAAAAAAAAAAAAAGCCTAGACACACTGCCCTTGTTATCAACTGGACTGGACAGTCCACTGGACCACAGAGAGTTCGCTAATCACATCCCCAGCTAACACGATATCAAAGACAGATATTGCAAAAGACATGGGACGTGTTTTTCTTCTTGGTATTTTGGCGTCATGATCTTTAGTCCATGTGAATTATTTTCTCAGAGGAAACAAAAGTCAAATAAAGGTCAAATCTAAGTGAAAAGCAAAAACAAAACAAAAGAACATTAAGGGGTGTCAAAACTTAAGGATTGCTTGCTCCCACTTGAAGCACAAAAAGAAGTGCAGCCATCCACATCATGAAAACCCGGCTTATATAGTCCCTTCAGTCTTATTCAATCATCCCATATAAGCTTGATCATTCCTTGTTCCAACATTGTCTCATTTGTGCTGACGGCACACACACACACACACACACACACACACACACACACA